GTGATTTCTTGCTTCTTTGGGCTTTTTCGGTGGTCAGTGGGGAGAGCCGCTGGGGAGTGCAGTAAGAGCAGTCAGCCCCAGGCTCTAGAATTTAAGCTAGCCAGTCTTACTGCTGGGTTTTGCATTCTCTCACCTGCTGCTCCTGACTTTTCTAGCCATTCATCGTGTTTCCTTCCATTCCTGAAACTGAGCTTTCAAGGCCTGTATCAAATTGGACATTTGTTTCTTGTTTTGATTCCTTACATTTTGGTATTGTCAAACATAAAAGCAAGAGAGAGGGCAGAGCGGTGAAGCATTGTTTCTTCCTCCTTTTTCACTGTTGTCTGTGGAAGAGGACAGCCTGTCAGTCATTTCCTCCCTGCCTTCCATCTTGACAGAGCGGGGTCAGGTCTGGGGCCTTAAGAGTTCTCGCCTCCCTCTCAGCCTTCTTCCTTAATTGAATGGTTCCCTACAAGCCATCTTCCAACAAAGCTTTATGATGCGTTTGAGAAACCTCTTTGCCAGAAAGCACTAAGAGAGTGGACACAACCTTTGTACCAATTTGCCTTCCTGATGCTGTTGTTAAACACACTAGCATTGCTCTTAGAAGCAAAAGGAAAACTAAGTGGGAGGTTTATTTGTCTGAGAAAAATGTAAATGTGAAAGAAATGCAGGAATGGCCTGAAGCAGCAGTGGTGTGACAAATGGAGATGAGGTCATGGTCCTCTCTTGTCAACTGCAAGAGAAGAGCAGAGCTGCCTTCTGACTGTCAGCCTGTTCCTTCTCCCTTCTGTCCACTCTAGGGCAAGGTGGATGCATATATCAGCAGTAAAAGAAACAGAGTATCTCTGTTCCCTTAGCCAGGCAGACGCTTGTAGTGAAATATGTTCTGTAGATATTATGGCTTTTCCAGCACCAGGATCTATTCAGGGAAGCACTTTAAAGGTACATGCCAAGGCTGCTGGCACTTAGTGTTGCTGAAAAGCCTGGGTGACTTTCTCTCCGTAATGCTGTGGAGCCCTGGGAATCAGTCCTGTGCATTGCCTAGCCCTCTTTCTATGCACGCCTGGGAGGCTGTGCTATCTCTTTGCAATGGTAAAATATGGGGCTCATGCCTTCAAGCTGTATCTTGCCTCATGACTTGTCCTTCACAAGGGAGTTCTGGGTTAGTTTAAAATGTTCTGTTCTTGTCTCACCTTCCCTTTCTTCTGCTACCACCTCCTCTCTTTCTCCCCTTCCTTCCCCCTCGATTTTCCTGTGTCAGACTGCCTCCTCCTCATGCTCCCCCCAGCCCACCTGTGTGCTCTCCCCCACCCCTCCCCTGACTTTAGCATGACCTGAATTTACATTTCCTTCTTCACCTTTCATGCACTGACTTACTGTTTTTTCTTAGGGGGTCTTGTATTGCTCCCTGGTTAGTAACAATGGACTCATTTCTCTAATAATCCTTGGAAAGTCCCTCCTGGGGTGTTTGCCTTTCTTTTTGGGCTGATGTAGACCAGAATCTTGTTTTTAATAGCAGCTATGGATTAGTCACCTCAACATTAGTAGTCCAGGTCTTCTAGTAAAGTATGTTGCTGGCTGGTTGAAACTATTCTTCCTCTGTCTCCTTCTCTGCCCACCTCCCTCTACTGTAAACTGAATGCTGCTTGTGGTTGCTCCGGTTCTCTGAGTGTCTATGTGCTCCATGAGGAGGGAGAATAACAAGGAATGTACCAGCCCATTTTAATTTTTCTGCCTGAATATTTTGCCTTAGCTTTGGTAACTAGAAGGAAAGTTAGAGGCTTGTGTGTCACAATTTGTAGTTTTTTCAGGTACAGAGAATTTCTGGGTTCTGTGATAAATGAAGATTTGGCTGCCGAAGTGTTTTCCAGAGTGGCTGTACTGTGTTTAATTCTGATGAGCTATGGATTAGTCACCTCAACGTTAGTAGTCCAGGTCTTCTAGTAAAGTACTAGTAAAGTACTAGAAGACCTGGACTACTAACGTTGAGGTGACTAATCCATAGCTGCTATTAAAAGCAAGATTCTGGTTTTTAAATCTATCAAGAGTACCACCTTCTTCTTCATGAAGCGACAGCAGCATCATTATTTCTCGCCTTAAGGAGATACTTTTTTCTGGAGCATGCTTTCAATAGATTTAATAGTTCAAAGCATCCCGTATTATTTAACATTTAGGTCCCTTCGGTTTTATCCCTGATTTTAGGTATGTTGTGAAAGGCATCCTGTAAAGAATTTTGCTGTACATCTCAGGCTGTTTCTTTAGGCAAAATTCCTAAAAACGGGATTACTAAGTTAAAGGGTGAGCTTTTCTTTCACCTTTTGACACACATCGGCTTCCTAAATTGTTGTGCCAACTTCCATTAGGATCAGAGTGAGGGGCTGGCCACCCCCTTCCTCTCTGATTTGAAGGGCCTCATCACGCAGTGAGGATATTTCTCTTTCCAGTGCCTATTTTCACCGTTTCTGTTTTACCTGATGTACTCTGCTTTGGGTGATTTTTTGTTTGTTTGTTTTGTTTTGTTTTGAGATGGAGTTTTGCTCTTGTTATCCAGGCTGGAGTGCAATGGCGCGATCTCAGCTCACTGCAACCTCCACCTCCTGGGTTCAGGCAATTCTCCCGCCTCAGCCTCCCGAGTAGCTGGGACCACAGGCACGCGCCACCATGCCAAGTTGACCAGAATGGTCTCAATCTCTTGACCTCGTGATCCACCCGCCTTGGCCTCCCAAAGTGCTGGGATTACAGGCGTGAGCCACTGCACCCGGCCAGCGCTTTGGGTGTTTTTTAGTCCACAGGTGTTTCAAGCTGCTGTGTCATCAAACGTACCAGTCTGTTCTTTCGTAGTTTGTCTTTGGAGATACACTGGCGCGGCTTCCCCATCTGAAGAGCATGGAAACAGTCACTTACACCGCTCTATCTTTTTCAAGACTTTGACATTTAGCACTGTATATATTTGTTTGTGACTGTTAAGTGTGTGAGACACAGCACAGAGCACATGGCATGCAGGCAAGTTTAACAGATAGTAACAGAAATGCCCACCCCGAGATATCCAGGGAGAGGAGGAAGCCATTTAGTGTTTGCTTTGTACATTTACGTAGAGGTTAAAACCAAGCAAAATTGAACTGTATATTGTTTAAGAATACACCTTCAGAACTGTAAAAAGCAAGGGAGTTTGTTTTGAGGGGAGAGGGAGATGAAGCGGGGTGGGGACACTCAGCCTCCCTGGGTGCTCTGTTTCTTCAGGCAGGCGGTGGACCTTTTGGAGTCATTCTGATCTAAACTGTATATAGTCATTTTACAAACTCTTTGAACGTGTATGTTTCTCTGTGGGTATAGAAAAAAAATGAACCAAAGTGCTTTTTCCTATCCTGTCACTCAATAATTAACACAGAACACTCTGTGACCAAATGTAGGGGGATTTCTCCCCACCAGCAAGCAAGCAATTCTGCAGCAGACTCCAGCTGGGTTCTGACACTGCCGACCTAAAGACAGCGTCAGACCACAGGCTGAGGAGGAGCAGAAGAGAGACCTCTCGTAGGGGCACACCAGCGCTGCCGCCCTACGCCACACAAGGAGAGAAAGGAAAATCTTGAGTCCTTTCAGGGGAACTTCCAGGTACCCAGCTAGGCTTGAGAAGTAAATGAGCAACTTGATAAGCAAGAAGGTAGTGACGTAAAGCAACAGCCGAGGAGGTCAGAGTCGGGTGTTCGGTTCCCTATAGAAACTGAAGCTAAGATCTTCATGTATGTCCCACACTCCAACCAACTGGGCAAACCAGCTACCTACCCTGAGCTTTTCTTTTCTTTTTTTTTAGACAGTCTCACTCTGTTGCCCAGGCTGGAGTGCAATGGCACAATCTGGGCTCACTGCAACCTCTGCCTCCCAGATTCAAGAGATTCTCCTGCCTCAGCCTCCTGAGTAACTGGGATTACAGACACCCGCCACCACGCCTGGCTAATTTTTGTATTTTTAGTAGGGACAGGGTTTCACTATGTTGGTCAGGCTGGTCTCGATCTCCTGACCTCGTAATCCATCAGCCTCAGCCTCTCAAAGTGCAGGCATTACAGGCATGAGCCACAGCCCCCGGCCTACCCTGAGCTCTTTAAAAACCTGGACCACAGCTGGGTGAGGTGGCTCATGCCTATAATCTCAGCACTTTGGGAGGCCAAAGTGGGTGGATAAAGAAGTCAGGAGTTCGAAACCAGCCTGACCAAGATGGTGAAACCCCATCTCTACTAAAAATACAAAAATTAGCCGGGTGCATGCGCCTGTAGTCCCAGATACTCGGGAGGCTGAGGCAGGAGAATCGCTTGAACCAGGGTGGTGGAGGTTGCAGTGAGCCGAGATCAAGCCATTGCACTCCAGCCTGGGTGACAGAGTGAGACTCCATCTCAAAAAAAAAAAAACAAACCTGGACCCCCACCACATGGAATCTGCCGGCACCTAGACTTCAGATAAGGGGGAGCTGAGCACTGAACTCTGACCGCTGCTGTTCTTTGATCTACATTTCTTCCTGAGGGGTCTGGAAGAAGCCACCCCCACAGGCCAGACCTTACCATTCCTGTCTTTAGACAAAGCCTAGATTCCTCAATCAATGGCAAACAGAGTCTTTGAATCTACCTATGACCTGGAAGTGCACTCGCTTCAAGATATCCCACCTTTTTAGGCCAAACAAATGTACCCCTGCTTTTAAGAGGCCTTGTTTGTTAGCCCCTGGGGAAGCTGGGTCTCCAGTGTGAGCTGTCCCCATTCTCTTGCTTGGCACACTGCAAATAAATGCCCTCTCTTCTCCTGCTGCAAAAAATTCAACGTGAATGTTTGGCTTTACTGCACCCGGCAAGCAGACCCCAGTCCAGTTTGGTCAGTCCCCAAGACTGTCCCCCAACTTCCAATGTCAGTCAAAAGCCCCAGGTTGTTTCACCTGTGCTTCTGGCTGACCAGCTAGAAATTGGGGTTCCCATGACCCCTTCCTTGGGTTTAACTTGCTAGAGTGACTCAGGGAACTTAGGGAGACACTTACGTATATTTGCTGGTTTATTGCAAGAGATACGAAAAAGGTTACAGCTGAAGTGATGCACAGGGTAAGTGATGGGGAAGCGGTGGGGAGCTTCCCTGCCCCTCCTGGGGGGCACTGCCCTCCAGGAACCTTCATGTATTCAGCTCCCAGAACCTGTCCGTTTGTGTTTTTATGGAGGCTTCATTATGGAGATATGATTGATGAAATGACTGCAGTGTCACCGGTGAGCAACTTAACCGCGTCTCTCTCCTCTCCCCAGGATGGATCCTGCCTTGGTCTTTCCATTGACCTGTCCCATCCTGAAGCTACCCAGCGGCTGCCAGCCCTCTGTGAATCATTCACATGCAAAAAGATATCACTTTGGAGATTCCAAGCGTTTCAGGAGCTGTATGCCAGGAAAAGGGAAGGAGACCAAACATATAACAGTATCACAGTTCCATATAGCATGTAAACAAATCTTTGTGGTAAAATATACATAATACAAAATCTACCATCTTAACCATTCTTAAGTACACAGTTCAGTGGCGTTAAGTACGTCCCACTGATGTGTGGTCATTGCCAGCATCCAACTCCAGAACTCTTTGCACCTTGCAAAACTGGAACTCTGCCCTCATTAAACAACTTCCCGTCCTGCCCCCATCCCCCGCAACCCATTCTACTGTGTGTTTCTATGAATTTGACAACTTGAGGGCCTCCTGTCAGTGAAATCATGTTTGTCCTTTCACGCCTTAGTGTCATGTCCTCAAGGTTCGCCCTGTGGCAGCATGTATCAGAGCGCTCTTCCTTTTTAAGTCTGAATCTACTCCGCTGTGTGTATCAGCCACATCTTAGCCATTCCTCTGTCAATGGACTCTGCATAGAATTAAAGTAAAATTTTCCTCCTTGCATCTCCATTTGACTCTTCAATTGTCCAGGAAGGTACATGGGTGTGCGGTGTGATGTCTGGGCAGAAGGGTCTACTTTGAATTTCCCCACCTCTGAGAGCCGTGAGAAACTTGCTCCATTTCACAAGCTTTTGTGTAAACCTATTTTGTATAGGGCATGGTGAGGAGGCTGAAATAAAGCGTCTGTTCTTGTATTCACCAAATATCCATTGGGCCCCTGCTACTCACTGGGCATATTTCTAGGGGCCTGGTATAGACAGGTATAGACCCTGCCCTCACTGGTGCTCAGAGCTGGAAGACAGAGGCCAGTTCTAAGGCAGAGGAGGGAGTGTTGCTTCCAGATTTATGGGGGATGTTCAGGTAAGGCTTTCTGGGGGAGTCTTTGATCTGGGCCCCAACACATGGAAAGACTAAATGGAGATGAGAAGGGGAGCATTTCACTAAGGGAGAACAGCTTACCTAAAGGCCTGAAGCCGAATGTGGGTACTGGTTCATAGTTTTATCAGCGTGTTCAGCTGCAGGGGACAGAATTCCTCAACTAGAGGGCTTAGTAATAAAGGCATTGGATTCATATAAAGAAAAATGCACAGGCAGTTAGTTCCATAGCTTACTGGAGCCCCAGGCTCCTTCCATCTTGTGTGTTTTGGTTTTTGTTCTTAGGCTTTTTGCCTCATAGTTGCAAGATGGCTGCCTTAGCTCCGGTCATTGCATCCTTTCATGGCCTTCAAAGGTTGGGGACAAGAGGGCCAGCCAAGTTGTTAAGAGTCTGCTCCTCTCATGTCTGTCTCTTTATACCAGGAGGTCCATTTCTCCCAGCCTTCCTTCATGTTTCATCATTGTTCAGAAGCACATCAGCAGGCAGCCACAGGCCCCCCCTTACTATGGGGAGTGGGATTCCCTGACTGGTTTGGACTTCAGGAGCTGAGCTGTGCAACAGAACTCTCTGTGTTGATGGTCCAGGTCTGTGCTGTCCAAATGACAGCCACCAGCCACAGGCGGCCACCGAGCACCCAGAATTTGGTTCATCCGATGGAGGACCGGAATTCCTATTAAAGGAAAGGCTGCTGCGGTGGCCAGCCCGGCTCTGGAGGTTGCACCACTGGCCCTGGCTGGATGAGGTCTGGCTTCTATTCATGCAGAGAAGGGAGATGTCAGTTGAGGAGGTGACCCAGGCATCTGCCCACCTGTGAGTAGATGCGGAACCAGGTGAATGTGTGTATGTGGAGGGGAGAGGTGGTAGAGGAGGCCGAGGGGCCGCAGCACCTCTGCTTTCTTCATCGGGAGGGAGAGTGGGAGAGAACTCACCCCATGCACCGACCAGCACGCCAGGTCTTCAGCCTTACCCTCAGGGCTGCAGAAAGCTCAGCACCCTCTCTGCAGTCTCCAAGGCCCCTCTGGCTCTGATTTTGGCTCAGCATACAGGCCCCTCTTTAGTTCTTCCCAGCTGAGGAGGAGGAACTAACACGACAGCAAATTCCAAAGGCCCTTCCTTCTTCTTCTGAACCACAGGCCTGGCAGGCTCCCTGCTGGCCACAGGGTCGGGGCTGGAGGAGCCTCTCTCGGGCATGGTGTCTGGGAAATCTCCCATGAGCCTGCAGGCAGGGGCCGGTCAGCCCCTTTCAGAGGTGAGGAAGGTGAGCTGGTCCCTCTGGCAGGGTGCCGAGCTTTCTGCAACGCCAGCCAGTATGGCTCATGAAAACTCTGGAGTCTGAGCCGGAGGCAGCGCAGGGCCCAGGCCGTGACTCAGGGCCAAGTCAATGGAAACACGGTTTGGGTGTATTTTTAACCTTGCTGGCTGTGAGCTAAGAGGCTGGCGCTGGTGTCTGAGGACAGTGAAGATGAATGGCCAGGCTCTGGCTGAGCGGGTGCCCCCGCCTGCCGTCCCCTTTGTCACCCAGGGTCCTGTGAGGGAGTGGGAGAGGGACAATGAGCAGGACGCCAGCACCCCTCCTGCCAGTGCCCCTCCTGTCTGTCCGTCCAGCACCTGGGCTGTGGACTGAGGGCTCAGTTGGAATCCTGGCTCTGCCTCTTACCAGCTGTGTAACCTTGCGCCAGTTACTTTACCTCTCTGTGCCTTGGTTTCCTCATCTACAAAATGGTCATCCTTGCACTGTCTCCTGGGGTGGGTGTGAGCCTGGCATCTGCCCATGGCAAATACTCAAAAACAATGACCAACATTGGCACAGCCAGCTCCGGTCCACCAACTTTTTATACCAACCCACAATGAGCTCCATGGTTACTGCCCAAGCAGCTACCATCACCTTCACCTAGTGGTTGGGAAACCAAGGCACAGAGAGGCAAGTAACCAGTGGGAGGCTCCCACGTGGGGCTGGTAGAGAGCACAGGTCCGAGGCCAGGAGCCCTCTTCCCACAAGGCTGGCCTCTGGCACCATGGCTGGGTCACTGGCTTCCATGTCCCTGGGATGCTGGGTCCCACTGACTGCGGGGGCCCCAGGCCCCTTGCCCCTCATCCACTGATCTCTTTTTTTTTGAGATGGAGTCTTGCTCTGTCACCAGGCTGGAGTGCAGTGATGCAATCTCGGCTCACTGCAACCTTTGCCTCCTGGGTTCAAGTGATTCTTCCGCCTCAGCCTCCTGAGTAGCTGGGACCACGTGCATGCGCCTGGCTAATTTTTGTATTTTTAGTAGAGACAGGGTTTCACCATGTTGGCCAGGATGGTCTCAATCTCTTGACCTCATGATCTGCCCGCCTCGGCCTCCCAAAGTGCTAGGATTACATGCGTGAGCCACAGCACCTGGCCGCCTCCACTGGTTTCTGCCTCCACTCCTACCTGTGAGCCTCAGGAGGGTGAGTGAGTGAGTGAGTTCGCTTGTTCAGCCATTTATTGATTTACTCACGCACTCATCCCCTTTGTGTCCACAGAGCCCCTTGGTGAGCGGACTCTGCTCTGTGGATGCCACCGTGCCCACAGCCCTCCCTCACCGAACTCAGCCTGGTGCAGCCAACGGACATCAAAGAAACAAGCAGCCACAATGACACTCAAGGGACGCTCAAGGGGAGAATGGGGGTGCTTTCGGTCTTGGGCTGAGTGGTCTGGGAAGCCTCACAGAAGAGGAGGATTCTTTCTGGAACCAGGGGACAGGCAGTGGGGACAACAAAGAAATTCATTTGGAGGGGCCTTGAGGGCTGTGTGCGAGTTGGACATGGTCTAGCAGGGAAAGAGTAAATGGTGCGCCCGGAAGAAGGAACAGCAATGGCAGAGGCGTGGCATTGGAAAATGCTGAGCTGGTGTGGCTGGGGCTGTGGGATGCACAGGGGAAGCCAAGCCAGCTCTGACCTCCCCTCCGCTCCCTCCCATCTGCCACCATCCAGGGCACAGCTGACTTCCTGGTCAAAGGAGAAGCCCCTCTCCCTGTGGCTCCATCTCAGGGAGGATGCTGATAACTGCTGGCCCTTTTACGCTATCTGGTGAGGGCCAGGCTGCCAGCTGGATCAATGAACAGCCAGTGCAAAAATGTCAGGAGCAATTGGAAGGTACCTGTGGTCTGAGCTTCATCTGCAACAATATGTCTTTATTAATGATGCAGCCGAAAGTGCTGGCAGAAGCGGTCACAGCTACTCATCCTCTGGGTGTGCACTTTTAATTCACTGCTGCAGCCCCTGATGGAGATGAGGCCTTGAGTTCTGCTCTCTTGAAAACCCAATCTTCTCCCTGCGAAATGGGGCTATGGTGTGTATCAGTTAGGTCGCGTGCCATAACAAACATCCCCTAAACTCAGGGGTACAAAACAAGAACAGTTCTCATTAGCTCACAGGTCTTTGTTGGGCTCAGCTGCTCTCAGCCACTTACTCACTGTCTGTGGCCTCAGCTGGGACATCTGGGCCTCATGCTGTAGGGGGCCTCTCACTCTCCAGTGGGCTAGTCCTGGCTGGGTCACTGGTGGCAGAGGAGTCCCTAGCACAAGAGTGGAAGCTGCAAGGCCCCTTGACACCTGGTCTCTGAAATGGCACAGCATTGCTCTGCCTTCTACTGGCATGGCAATCACATGACTCGAGGGAGGGGAGATAGATTCCTTTCTTCACGGAAGTTGCTGCAAGTAACTTGCAGCCATATCGCAATTTAGATGTAGTGAAAGCGATCTTGAGTTCCATCAATAAACGTGTTCTGAGCACCGCTCCCTCCCCGGCCCTGATACATCAGACTGTATGCTGGGTAGTGCTGGGACAATGGGGAGAAATCTGACTTGGTATCTCCACCCCAGGAGCTTCTAGTCTGATGGAGGAGGCAGACGCAGTCAGACAGGAGCACATCCAAGGTGCTAGAAGCCAATGAAAGGTTTGGCTTAACAGACAAAAGAGGTCAGCTGCGGGGAGTGCCTCACGCCTGTAATCCCAACACTTTGGGAGGCCAAGGTGGGCGGATCACCTGAGGTCGGGAGTTCGAGACCAACCTGGCCAACATGGTGAAATTCTGTCTCTACCAAAAATACAAAAATGAGCCAGGTGTAGTGGCAGCTGCCTGTAATCCCACATACTTAGGAGGCTGAGGCAGGAGAATTGCTGAAACCAGAAGGCGGAGGTTGCTGTGAGCCGAGATCGCGCCACTGTGCTCCAGCCTGGGTGACAAGAGTGAGACTCCATCTAAAAAAAAAAAAGAGGTCATGGGGTCATGGGGTGGTATGTATGTGGGGAATAAACTCTAAAGCTCTTGTGAAGTGTCTTGCGGCTGTCAGGGACAGGAGCTACCCTTGATTCTGCACTGATTCTTTCCCAGGGATGTTCAGGAAGCTCTCCTCAGCTCTGGGTTATTTGCCGAGGCTCAGCGTGGGTGAGGTCACGCAGCCTGAGGAAGGTCTGAGATTGGGATCCAAGTATGCCCGGCCTTTGGCACCTGTCTAGAGCCAGCTGGCTTTGACCCTGATGGATTCAGGAAGTGAGACACTCCCAGGTGGGCCAGCGAGGCTCAGGCTGCAGCACAGAGGTGCGTGTGCAGGTGAGCTTGGGGAGGCAGGTGGCCGAGGCTTGCCCGAAGGCTGACGAAACACAAGCAGCAGGAGGGTCTCCAGGGGGCACATTCTGGGACCTGGAGCCAAGACCTACCTTGCGGGAACCACTTGTCCCCCGGTGCCTGCTCTGCCCTGGCTTGGCTGCCCAGGGCTCACGACCTTCCTTTCCCTTTTGACGTGTTTGTCGCATGTCAGTGTTGCTGGGAAGGCAACAAAGGAGATGCATCCTTCAGCTGCTCCTTGTCACCTGGAGGGGAAGTCTCCAGTGTCTTCCAGGCCAGCCCCAGAGAAAGCCACAGATGCTGTGGATGTCTCCTGGATGGCGGGGGTGACAATGGCAGCAGCAGCCATTGCAGGAACAGCACTGTTCACCAGGCGCTCTCCTGGGCTAATCTCCTCTTTGAATCCTCATCATGTCCCAAGATAGGTGTTGTTAGGCCTGTTTTGCAGATGAGGAAACTGAGGCACAGAAAGGTGAAGTGGATTGCCTGAGTTCACACAGTCAGTAAAGCTGTGGCCCAGGGAATGTCCGACGCCAGCAGTCCTGCTGTCTTCACCAGCTGGCAGCCTCAGGAGCTGGGACATCAAGCCCAGTGGGTACCAGGCTAACTGCTTTGTCTGTGTCATGGCCCTGAATCTTCACAACCACCTCCTCTAGGGCTGCTATCACCTACCATCTTGGAGATGTGGAAATTGGGACACAGAGAGGCAAAGCAACCTGCCCAAGGTCACAGAGCAGGTAGGTGACAAGGCCAGGAATGGGTCATAGCAGTTGGGACTCTGAAGAGTCCTGGCTCTTAGCTGCTGTGCTGGGAACCCTGGCTGTGCTGGGAACCCTCTGGATTCCAGGCCCTGCAGGGGAGCGGCGCTGCAAGATGCCAGTGTGGGCACCTTAGGGATGGTCCCTGTGGGAAAGTTCACTCTCTGAATCTTTGCTTCCTTGTGGTCCCTTCTGACGTGGCCAGAGGGAAGAGCAGAGATGCCGTGGAGGTAGGCCTGGCAGGTGGGAGGCTGTGGGGAAGAAGAGGGAGGGTCGCAGCTCTGCCCACTTCAAGAGGCTGTGAGTTCCTGCAGCTGCCTCAGGCCCTGGACACAGGCCACCTCCTGGGCCTCTCTGGGTCCCTGGATGTTTGGACACCCCCATCCTCTGGTCAGGGGTCTCAGGGAGTACTCACTTCAAAGCAGTAGCAGCAGCAATAGTAACAGCGTGGCTGCCACTTCCTGAACACTTACTAAGCGCACACACTGCCCTAGGAGCTCACTCCTGGGAGGCAAGGGCTGTTCCCATTCCCATTTTACAGGGGAGGAAACAGAAGCACAGAGAGGGTGAAGGACTCACCTTCTGGCCAGCAAGTAGAGGGGCCAGGGATTAGATTCTGTGCACTGGGACCCTTCACCGCTAGGGAAACCAAGGCCAGGGAGAGGAAAGGACCCACCCTGATGTCCCAGCACGGGAATAGAAGAGCCGGGATCAGAAATGCCGGGTTCCACAGAGGCCGGAGTGATGTGGGTGGGGTCCCGTGTCCCGTGCATGTTCCCTTAGCTCCCTGGGCCTCTGTTTCTCTCTCTGTAAAGTGGAGATGCTAACAGCACCTGCCCCAGGGGATAGCTTTGGAGATTAATGGAGCAAATGCACACGAAGCACTTAGGAGACAGCCCACATGCGGCAGGTGCCCAGTGCAGCCGCTGGCACCACGACGCTGGGGCCTCGGGGCTGTGTGCCGGCACTGGGTCTCTGGAGAGCTAGTGGGCAGCTGGGACATCCCCATAGTTTACACAAGATGGCCTTGAGGAGAGACCCACTCACCCCAGCCTGGCCAGAGAGGGCAGCCAGGCTAACATGACTGACTGCCCGGCATCCATCCACACACCCACCTGGAATCCCTCACTCAGCTCCCTGGTCTGGTCGCCCATTGTGTGGGCCTCAGCCAGGGCTGGCAGCCTGGCAGGACGAGGCATATGGCTCGAATCTTTAGGGGTGCCCCCTTGGTGGCAGGTGGGGGTTGCCTAGCAGGGACTCTCTGTTTATGGGCGTCACTGGCCAAGAAGCTGGCAGCGCTGACAAAGCTCACGTGGCCCTCACACTGTGCAGGGCTCATTCTCAATGCTTTATGCCTCATCGTTGGGGCAGAGAACAGCAGCAGCAGCCCATTCTGCAGATCGGAAAACTGAGCTGGGAAGCACATTTCCACAGCTGGTGAGCAGCAGGGACCCTGAGGCTGCACCTTGTCCACCACCTGGTAAGCGGGGTGCTTGCATTATTATGAGTTAGTTACTGGGGAAACAGGAACAGAGATGTGACGTGTCTTGCCCAGGGCTGCCCAGGCAGGAAGGGGTAGAGATGGGGTTGGAAGCCAGGTTCCCCAGCCAGAGGCTGCAGAGGTCCCCATGACACCTTCAGCCTGGCCATGCATGCTGAGCCCCGCCCCTCCCCATGCCTGCTGAGCCTGGCTCCCTGCGGCCTCCCTACCCCGGCCCATCTGCATTCTCCCCTGGCCCAGGATGCAGTGCACGGTCCCTAATGGGACAGTGATCTTCCCAGGCCTCAGTATGCTCATCTAAGAAATGGCCTCGAAGCACGTGAGCAGGTGGCCCACGTGCTGCCCAGGCTCCCGGACACCCTCTTGTCCCCACTGCGTCCTTCTGGCCTCATCTTGGAAGCACAACAGGGTTGCCAGGGCCCTGCGGGAGACCCCTCGCAGCCTCACCTGCCGCCTCTGGAAACACATGCATCCCTATGAGAGTGGGAAACCCTGCCCACCCTCTGCGTCCTTGCCTCACCCTGCTGTCCTCCTGAGCTGAGTTAGGGATTTGGGGTGCATCTCACCCTCCTTCTCCCCACTCGGGCCTTTTTCCTCCCTTTGAACTGTCTGTTTCGCTGCAGAGGAAGCTATTCATGGCCAAGGTGATGCAAAATTCATAAAGTGTGGCTGCCCCCGCGCGTGGCCAGCGCACCCCCCCCACTCAGCGATCTTCCTCTGCGGGTGCAAGTAAGTGTGTGACTGTGTAACTGTGTGTATAACTGTATGTGACTCTCTGTGTGTGATTCTGCGTCTGTGTGACTGTGTAACTGTGACTGTGAAGGTGTATGTAACTGTGTGTGACTCCATTTGAGGGTGTGAGTGTGAGTAACTGTGACTGTATGTGACTATGTGTGATTCTCTGTCTCTGTGTGAGGGTGTGACTGTGTGTGTGTAACTCTGAGTGTAACTGTGAGGGAGTGTGTAACTGTGTGACTGTGTGATTCTCTGTTTAAGTGTGTTACTCTGAGTGTGTGTGTATAACTGTGTAACTCAGTGTGTAACTGAATGTAACTGTGAGGGTGTGTGACTCTGTGACTGTGATTCTTTGTATGAGTGTGTGACTCTGTGTCTATGTGAGGTTGTGTGTGTAACTGTGACTGTGTATGTGACTGTGATTCTGTCTGTGTGTGACTGAGTGTAACTATGAGTGTGTGTGACTCTGAGTGTGTGAGTTTGTGAGTGTGCGAGTGAGTGGGGGGCACTTCCTCGGTCCTCTCCCAAGTCCCCCTCTCCTGGCCTCTCCTCTAGTGTCCACTCTGGGGACAGCTCGGCACAGGTTCTTAGGAGGGGGCAGAGCTGGTGGCATGAGCCCATGCAGTCTCTCCTCATTCTGGCTGGTTCTGGGCAGGGCTCCTTTCTCCCCTTAGCTGGACAGCAGTTTGTTCTCCTTCTCAACAGTGAGAATTAGACAGGACATCGGTCCCCACCTCCAGAGCCCACGCCACAAGCCAGGCGCTGTTCCCACAGACTCGTTCCCTCTTCACAATACCCTAAGGGGTATTGGTGATTATTACCTGAATTTTACAGGTGGGTAAACTGAGGCCCAGAAAGCCTGGCTAGGGCAGCTGGGGCCTGAGGGTGGAGGGCTGGGAGGTGGAGGAGCTGGGATTTGAACCCGTCTGTCAGCTTGCTCACCACTGTTTACCCAATATGGCATCCTGCCTCCATTGGTCCTGTGGGTAGATCAACAGATTGATTGATGGATCCTCTTCCCTGCGGACTCCAGATGCAGAAAGATTCTGGCACTAGAAGCTTCCCAGAGGACTGGTCTCTATCCCCTTCTCAGAGGTGGGTGAGGCCCAGGGAGGAGACATGAGCTAGTCACGGGCGAAGGGCCAATCCCACCTACCTGACTCCCCACTCTGGCTCAGCTCCTGGCCACTGTGAAGGCTGTGGCCCCAGGTGTGGCCTGGGTCGGCCCGGCGCCTCCCCAGACAGGACAGCCAGCCTGAGCCGCCTGGGCTGCCCTGCAGAAGCATGGTCTGGGGAGGGTGACAAACACAGCAAATGTTTCCCTTGCCCTGGGCCCCGTGCTCTGCGCTCCTCCCTCACAGCAGCCCCAGCAGCTTGGGTGTCCTCCTCCCCCCCAACCCCGGCAGGGCCAGATCCAGAGCCCCGACTCTCTGCCATGTCTCTGCGTGGGCTGCTGTGTCCCTGGTGGAGGGTTCCCCCGTTTTTACTGAGGTAAAATTCACATAAGGTAAAATTGCCCTCCTTTTTTTTTTTTTTTTTTGAGACGGAGTTTCGCTCTTGTTACTCAGCCTGGAGTGCAATGGCTCAATCTTGGCTCACTGCAACCTCTGCCTCTGGGTGCAGGCAATTCTCCTGCCTCAGTCTCCTGAGTAGCTGGGATTACAGGCAAGCGCCACCATGCCCAGCTAATTTTTTGTAGTTTTAGTAGAGACAGGGTTTCACCATGTTGACCAGGACAGTCTCAATCTCTTGATCTCTTGACCTCGTGATCCACCCACCTCAGCCTCCCAACTGCTGGGATTACAGGCTTGAGCCACCGCGCCCGGCAAATTGTCCTCCTTAAAGCATACAGATTAAGTGGCATTCCACTCACGATGTTGTGCAATCATCGCCACTCTAGTTCCAGAACATTCCCATTGCTCCAGAAGAAGACCCCGTGAAAACACGGAGCGGTCACTCCCCACGCACCCTCCCCTGAGCCCGCAGGAGCCTCTGATCTGCTTTCAGTCTGTATGGGTTTGCCACTTCTGGGCATTTCATGTGAATGGAACCCTAAGCATCTGTCCTTCTGTGTCCTCCAGGTCTTTGCATGCTGTACCAGTGCCGGAACGCCACGCTCTTCATGTCATGGATGAGCGGGTTCATTGTGCAGACACACTTGCGTGTTCATTCATCTGTGGACGGGCTCAGGGCTGTCTCCACCTCTTGGCTGCTGTGAACAGCGTTGTTATCCGCATTCATGTACAAGCTTTGTCTGAGCACCTGTTCCGATGCTGTGGGGCAGGGACCCAGCAGCGTAATGGCTGAGTTGCAGTCCCTGTGTTTAAGGGCTTGTCTTCCTGCCGGCCAAGGCCTTGACAACAGTCCTCATGGTCTCGTCCTGTCTGCATCTTCCCTCTGGGCCCCCGACCTGCCTATCAGTCCACTCCAAGGTTGTTTTCTGCCCCTTCCTCCCTAAAACCCAGGAGCTCCAGGACTCTGAGGGACAGGTTCCAGATGGGGAAATTGAGGTCCTCAGAGGAAAAGAGTTTTGCCCCATAAGTTGGAGTGGAACTGGGATTTAGCCTCAGCCCTGCTCCCATCCCAAGACCCCTAGGTCCTAGGTCTTTGTGATGTTGCTGCATGTCCCACACGGGGCTATCGCTCCTGGAGAGAGCTGGCCACATTCTCAGCATCTCATCTCCTGGGCACTGGCTTTCCTGGCAGATCCAGGGCAGGACGTTGGGGCTTTTGTGTGAAAACAAGTCTCAAGTGAGCTCTGCAGCAGAATACCAGCCTGGCATACACTTCCAGCCTCGGTGAGTGGCATCTAAGTAACGTGGCTTGGGTGGACAGGGACTTTCCCCACTTCCCACCCCAAGCTCCTCTGCCTTAGCCCCCAGCCTCAGCTGCTCCAGACTTACAGACACGGAAGCCCTGGGATGGCCTCCTCAGGGTGTGCTGGGGTGGGCTCTTTGCCGTGTTCAGAACTTGCCCCTGCCTGGCTCCCCTGAAGCTCACCTGAGCCTCTCTGAACCCCTAGGAGACAGGGAAAGAAACCCGCAGATGGACTATCATGCCCCTCCCGCCTGCCAGCCCCAGGCATTGATGGGGGGTGTCATTTTCTCTTCATTCCTCCAGAGGCCCTGGCTCCACTCCACTTCCCACCCCTCCTGCCCCCTCCAGAGCAGGTGTGACCATGTGATCAATACGGAGCTGGTCAATCCATCTGTCCCTCTGCTTGGCTGAGGCAGCTGGCAATGATGGCTGCCTTGGGACCCCACATGTGCCCCCAAGACTGTGGCACATATCACCCCTTCATTGCACAGGTGGGGAAATTGAGGCCTCCAGTGGGGTTGGGCCTTCCCAAAGTTCTCAGCAAGTCTGTGGGGTGGGAAGGGGTGGAAACTCACTCAGCTGGCCCCTCTTTCAGACATCATGTCTGTGACACGTGTGGTCCTGGGCGCCCTGTGTCCCTGTGTCCATGCCCCAGGGGTCCTGAAGTGCTAAACCACAGATTCATTAAATGCTGACTGAGTGCTCTGAGCTGGGCAGGCCCCGTGCATCCAGGGAGGCCTAAGCCGGGAACCCTGCCCTCACGACGGAGATGATGGTCTCATCAGGAGCTGGATGACACTGAGATGTCAGGTGGAAGTGAGCACTGGGAAGAAAAATCAACCCACAAAATGGGAAGGAAAAGGTCAGGGAAGGCCTCTTGGAGGAGACAGCATTTGAGCAGATGCCTGAAGACAGTGTGGGAGTGAGCCACGAGACGCCAGCAGGAAGAGCTTTCCGGGCAGGGAGCAGCAGTGCAAAGGTCCTATGGTCAGCGTGCGCTTAGCACTTGAAAAAGTTGCTTCAGAGCCAGCAGAGCTCACAGGCTTGGCCCCTACTGCAGACACTCAGCTTGGCTTCCATGGATTTGTTCTATCTACTTTAAACCTGCCAACTAGGGGCCAGCATTTTCAAATCTGAAATTTGTTTCCATAAAATGTCCCAATTTCCAGCCCTTCTTAAGGAAGTGAGACCTAGAGTCAGGAGCGTCCACCCCTTCAGCCTGCAATTCCTCCCCACTTGCCTCTCCTCCTCCACCCTCTTGCTTGAGTCCTGCGAGGACCTGGGCACGTGGCCCTGGCAGGAGGATGTGGACAGTGCACAGATGGCACCTGTGTCATCACAGGTTTCTGCTTCTTTTTTTTTTTTTTTGAGACGGAATTTCATTCTTGTTGCCCAGGCTGGAGTGCAATGGTGTGATCTCAGCTCACGGCAACCTCTGCCTCCCAGGTTCAAGCCATTCTCCCGCCTCAGCCTTCTGAGTAGCTGGGACTACAGGTGTGCGCCACCACGCCTGGCTGATTTTTGTATTTTTAGTAGAGACAGGGTTTCACCATGTTGACTGGGATGGTCTCGATCTCCTGACCTCATGATCTGCCCGCCTTGGCCTCCCAAAGTGCTGGGATTACAGGTGTGAGCCACTGCACTGGGCCAGGTTTCTGCTTCTTTATCTTCAGCCTGGAGAAAAACATTGGTGATTGAAGCCAGGCTGCCACCCAACAAGGCAGGACTGAAAGGTCACCGAACGGTCTTGACAAGGTGCTCCTGGTAATCACCCATCGCTGGCAGTTTGCAGCAATCTTTCCACCTCCGGAAAGTCGGGGGTGGATGGGCCTTGCTGGGCTGGGCTGCCCCTCATTAAAGTCTCGGGCAGGTCACTTTTTCACTTGGTCAAGGTCCTCCACACCTCTGTGCCTGTTTTCTTGTCTGGAGAATGAGAGAAATGAACACTGGGCTGCCTAGCTCAGGACAGAAACAAGAGCAGTCAGGGGCCTTGATGGTAAGACAGAGAATGTTTCGGGACATGCCAGCCCTCAGGTTTCAGCCAAACCCAAGGTGGCATTCAGGGCCCCTGAGGTCTCAGCTCGGATGCACCCAGTGTCCATCCCTTCCTTCTTCCCACCTGGGGCCCCAGCCCCCTGGCTGATCTCCCGCCCTGCATCCAGACTCTGTGACGTCTGCTTTTGAGCACCTGATGTAGACCAGGCCCCTGCTAGGATGCGCGGTGGGCCAGGGCTTGGGCAGGCCTAGCTGTGCTCCCCCGTCTGAGCCTGCCAGGTGGGCCCCCTGCTCTGACCCCTCAGGTCACTTCCCAGCATCCTTTGCTCTCAGGCTCCTGCATTTGGTGGTGGTGGGGGAAGGGGGCACGTCTCTCCTTGGATGGCTTCCTTGGCAGCAGCCACATCCCCACGTTGGCTCCAGACACCCCTGGCGAGGCTCCAGCTCTCCCTTCGCATGATGACAGCCCCTGGGACTGGCGACCCCACTGCTTTCCTCCCTGCCTCCAGACTGGGATGGCGGCTTCATGCTGACTCCAGTCTGGGATTCCTCCCCATCCCGTTTAGGTCTCAGAGCCTTTATCACGGCGTGACCAGTTCCCTAGATGCAGTTCTCGCTGTTGGAGAGACCTGAGGGCTTCCTGGCCGTGTCCTGACTGCGCAGGTCGCAGTGGTCTGGCTATGGGCCTCTTTCCTTGCCGGAATCGTGAGCTTCCTGAGGAGGAAGACTGATGGGCTTCTTCCACGGTAACAGACTCAGCTTTGAGGAGGCCTCAGTGATGTCACATCTCATGCTGTCGCTAGATAACACTTCTGTAGCAGGCACAGCCAGGGCCAGTCAGGCAGCTCCAGCGTGTCATGAAGGGTCTGTCCCTACCCCTAGCCCTGAGCATCACGTAGCAGCCCTGGAGGCCAAGAGGAAGACCCCCCGCCTGCAGTCTCTGGGCCAGGGGATCAGCCCAGTCAACAGGGCTGCCGTGATCACTCTCTTTCCCTCTCAGTACTGGCTAGCGGGGGCCTGGACCCCAAACCCAGGACTCCTCTTCATTCTTGTTCCCACAGGCTCGGGGACCTCACAGTCACTCCGGCGTGACTTACTCCCGAGTCCAGTCTGTTCCTAGGACCAGGGGTTTGGAGCTCAGGTTTGCTTACGGACTTGACTTTCATCAGGGCCTGTGGGAGAGCCCAGCCTCCCCTGCTGGGGCCTCTTACACAGCTAGACATGGACCCAGCTACACCAGGGTGCACAGGGGCACAGACACAGCCATGCACAGATACACAAACGTGCACACAGACACCAGGGCGTGCACAGCACAGATGCACAGGGTCACATACAGTCACACATAGGTACACAGACACGGACATGTGTGCATACATGACACACATGATCACATACAGACACGGGGACACAATCACACAGACACATGCACACACACATAGGCACATCTGCACAGACACACACACACATTCATGGATACACAAATACAGATAATAGAGACATGCATACCTATACCTGCATAGATACAGGACACACACAGACGTGCTAACACAGAACGCCCAGACACACACACATGCAGCCCGGGGCTGGAACGGGGTAATGCTGGGTGCCCAGCCTGGTGGGGTGGCAGTCCTGAGGGTGAGTCCCTTCACTCCATCAGCCATGCATTTTCAAAAACACAGAGGCAGCAAGAAGAGGCCAGAGCCTCCGCCAGCACCCGGGCAGATTCAGGGACATCTGTCACGTGGTGAAACACGCCTCAGGGTTCTCCTCCACCTCCCCCGATGGCTTCCTTCCGGCTCACAGATCGCTAGGTCCCTGAGCAAGGGTACTGACTGCAGCCCATCTGTACAACTGGGACGCCACCATGGGGCAGGGTGCATAACGCATGGGTACATCCACAGTGTCGAAGGGGACAGAGCCCTCCCGGATGCCTTTCCATGACATCAGTGCCTCCAGGTGGACGACTGTCCAGGCTACAGGCCCCCGGGCATGTGCTACATGCGGATGCTGCCGGCATCTCCACTCAGCTACCAGAGCAGCACCACCGAGGCATCCAGAGGCTTCAACCTCCACCAGCAACAATCACGTCCATGGTGTCTGTGCTTTACTGCAAGTCCCCGGCCAGCAGGCTGGCAGGTTTTATTTTCATTTCCATGGGCACTATGCATGGCCCCATGCTCATGGCCATCCAGGCATGAAGTGGACGTCCCTCCCCGCCGCGCCCCCAGCCTCTCAGTTCTCTCCAGAGGTCAGTGCTCGATGGCTGTGTGTCCTCTGGAGGCTCCTGTACACACAGCATTGCTGATATCTCTTTTGCGGTTCTTTTTTGTTTGGCTGTTTTTCAGTTTTGGTTTTCTTGAGACAGAGTCTCACTTTGTTGCCCAGGTTGGAGTGCTGTGGTGCCATCTCAGCTCACTGCAGCCTCAAACTCCTGGGCTCAAGGGATCCTCCCGACTCAGCCTCCTAAGTTGGTAGGACTACAGGCATGAGCAACCACTCACAGCTAGTTAAAAAAAATTTTTTTTGTAGAGATGGGATCTTCCTCTATTACCCATGCTGGTCTAGAACTCCTGGGCTCAATTATCATCCTCCCTTGGCCTCTTGTAGTGCTGGGATTACGTGTGCGAGCCTCTGTCGCTGGGTCCTTTTTTGTGGTTATTTTGGACAGAAAAGCTAGCCTGTGTGGGCACTGCTCTGCACCCAGGGTTTTGCAAACCTGATGCACTGGTGAAGTGTCTCATGGGGACAGTGGAGCTGCTGCCTCCCTTTTCCTGGCTCTGTCCCCTTTGACAGCGTGGATGTCCCCACACTATGCACCATGGTGGCATCCCAGTTGTGCAGACAGGCTGCAGTCAGCACCCTTGCTCAGGGACCTGGCTATCTGTGAGCCAAAGTCATCAGTGGGTCTGGGGTTACTGCCCATGCCACTCTGCGATCTTTGACAACCTGATGGGTGAAAAATGGCACCTCCACATAGATTGAATGGGGTTTGCACTTTTGAGAGTGAGCAGTGTGGTTATGGGGAGTGGAGAGCAGGGCCCCCAGGACAGCGGTCAGCTGTTGCAGGGGTGGGACAGCACTAACCACGCTCAGCGTGGGTGGGGCCCTGTGTCCCTCAGGGTGGTGTTGAGGACAGGCAAAGCCTCCTGAAAGAGCTTCTTCACTGGGCTGTGGGGTGAGTGCAGGATTTCCTCAGGGAAGAAAGAGAGAGAGGGTTCCAGGCACTGGAATAGCATAGGCAAAGGCAGGGCGTTATGAAAGTCAGGGCTGCTGACTGGATGGGACAGGACACGGACAGGTCATCTTGCCCAGAGCCTCAGTTTGTCCTCTGGGCACTGGGGAGCCAAGCAGGAGAGGGAGGAGGGAGGGGCAAGGGCAGGGTCTTCTTTGTCCCGAGGAGGAGGAAGCAAGCAAAGGCAACCCCAATAAACGAGGCCTGTCCCCCCAGCAAAGAATGAACCCGGATGGAGCAGAGGCCGATGTTTTATTCATGGCTGGCACAAGGCAATCAATTACCCACCCTGCCGCCTGGCACTGCCTCCATCATCCTGCCATCCCGTGCTATTTTGGGCTTGGGTTGGGCCTCACCTCCCCTGTCATACAGGCCTTCTCCCCACCTGGGTGGGGTGCACTCCTCCTGGCTCAGGGTGACAGGCCAGAAGGGCAGAGAAGCCACGGGTCCAATCCTGCTGAGTATTTGGGTAAACTGAGGCAAAGCAAGGTGCAACGCTGTGACAGGCTCCTGCAGTTTCAGGGAACTGGGCTTTCATTTAACCCTGTGCAGCCCCTAGGCAGGTGGTGGGGCGAGGATTCTTGTTCCGATTTCACAGAAGGGCATGTGGAAGCCCTTAAAGTGTCAGAGGACGGGCCCCAGATCTTCGTGCCCACAGAGCAGCCTCTGGGAAATGGTGGCAATCCTCCTGGATTTCCGGCAGGGTGAGCTACCTTGAAGCCCAGAAGCCTGGGTGTCCTCGAAGAGGGGGAGGAAATTCACCTGAGGCTCACAGCACGGCCCTGCCAGGGAGGGGAGAGGAGAGGCGGTGGGGTGAGCAAGAGCTAATTTATTGTGACTGCTTGTGACATCCGGGCTACTGAGTTGCTGGGCCTGGCTCATCCTCGCCAAGGACGAGTCCACCAGCTCCGCTGCCCAGTGTCCCTTTCCTGGTTTGGCCTCCGCAGGGGGATGAGACAAACCTTCAGAGTGGCAGGAGCCCATGTAGCCATCTGCTTCTGGGGCCCGCAGGCTTCTCAAAGTGGGGCTCTCTGGCTCCTTGGGTGGCTGAGCACCTACCCCACTCCAAACTCTGGGGCTTCCCAGCAAGCCCTTCCTGACATCAAACTCGGGCTCCAAGTCGCCCCTCTGTGAGAGGAGCATGTCCTAAAGCTGGTGTGGGAAGAGCATGTCCGGCCTGGGCGGTCACCTCAGCCCCACATCCAACTTCGTTTCCCTACCATCCTATTTTCCATATGAGCTGGCACATTTGTGTCACCACGTGGTCCAGCGATCACATGCTCAGGTGTGTACACCCGGGAGAAATGAAGACAGGCGTCCACACAGCACCACCACAGCCATGTTCACACAAGGCTGCTCACTGTCGCCAGAGGTGGAGGCATCCTGACGTCCATCACCTGAGGATACAAAGTGAAACATGGTCTGTCCACACAGCAGAGCATCATGTAACCGTCACAATGACGTGCCGGTCAGGCAACATGGATGAGCCTCACAGCGTAGGTTGAGTGAAAGCAGCCAGGTGCAAGAGCGTGCGTGCAGGATTTCATTCACAGGAAATGCCAGTGGACAACAATCCCCAAATTCATTCTTTCCGCCAGGTCAGTGAGTGCCCACCGTGTGCCAGGCACTGTGCTGGGCACTGTGGGTGAGCAGGTCCCAGAAACGTCCCTGTCCCAGGAGAGCAACATTTTAGTGGAGATGACAAAGGGCAAAAGTGCCAGTGCGTTTGTAGAGAAATCCACAGAGACAGAAAGCAGGTTGGTGGTTGCCATGGGCTGAAGGGAGAGGAGACGGGGACAGAGTTTTCTTGGGATGATGGAAATGTGTTGGAACTAGATTGAGGTGGTGGTTGCACAATCTTGTGAGTATCATAAATTCCACTAAATGATTCATTTTAAAAATAGAGACAGAATATCATTATGTTGGTTAGGCTGGTCCCGAACTGGCTTCAAGCAATCCTCCTGCCTTGGCCTCCTAAATTGCTGAGATTATAGGCATGAGTCACTGCACCTGACCTGTTCACTTTGAAATGGTTAATTTTATGTTATATAAATAGCATCTCAATTAAAAGAAATAAACCCACCAGAGAGACCATCTTGCCCCTGTTTAAAACCTTCCAGCTGCTCCCCACAAAACAAAAAAATAAAGTTCAAGCCTTGCGCTGTGACCCTCAGGGCCCACGATCCAGCTTAAACTCTCCCCTACTCGGAGCCAGCATTCTGCTTCTCTGGGCTCTGTGTGAGCCGCCATACTCTGTCCTGCTTCCAAGCCTTGTGCTTGCTGACCCCCCGCACTCAGAATGGAACGCTCGTCTTCCATCTCTGCACCAGTTTTCACGTCTCCTGTCAAACATCCATCTTTGGAGAGGCCCTCACTGACCTCCCTGGCTGAATAGCCACTGGCGCCTCATTCTCCTCCCTGCTACCCTGACCTTCATACCCCGACCTCTGCCTGAAACTGCCTCCTCTGAAGTTGATGCATTTCCATTTTAGTTGTCCTTCCTGCACGAGAACAGGGGCTTTTGTCTCTTTTGTCCCTGTTATGTATGTCTCCAGCACCCAGGTCAGGGTCTGGCCCAGAGCAGGTGTTCGGCAAAGGAATGAGTGAATGGAAGTTGGCTCCCATCTTTCCTGCTCTACCTCCGACTCCTCCAGTGAGACTATGGCTCCTCTTCTCACAGTGGATCCCCACCCCCAAGCCTAGCCCAGGGCCCCTCCTGGGCATTTGATGAAGTTATGACCATGTCCTGTTGCCCTTGGGTTAATGCTGCAGCATCTGGCCTGGTTTCCCAGTTCTTCCCCTGCCCGAGCTGGCCAGCTGTCAATTCCCACCACCCTCAACCCCCACCACCAACGCCGGTGCTTGCACCCACCCCAGACAGGTCCCACCTCCAGGCCCGATGCCTGTCTGAGGCCACAGTGAGGATGTCCATCCATCCATACATCCATCCCAACTTGCTGCTGGCCAAGAAGCCAGCTTGAGAGGCACGACCGATGACCACAGTCACGGATGCTCCCCTGAGCACCTGCATGTCCTTCACCACTGGACCTCTGGTTGTGTGATAACTTGACTTTATTTTTCAAATGAAAAAACTGAGGCTCAGAGAGGTTAAGGATGTGCTCCACAGTCACAGAGTGGAGAAGGGACAGAGCTGCTGTGGGTGCCGCACTGCCCTTATGGTAACAGCCTTTTTATTCCTGTTGCTGCTGCTGGGTCCTGGGCTCTCTCTTCCAGGGACCGTTTCCCCTCTGCCCCTCCTGCCCCTTCAGAGCCTCAGGCCACTCTTGCTGAATAAAGGTCTAGCCATTTACTGACCTGGGGCTGGTCCTGATCTGGAAAACTGCATGGTGAGAGGCGATAATGAGGGACCTGACATATGGTCCCTGGTGGGGATCTGGGCAACAGAGGTAACTGGGGCTGTCCTTTCCTCTTCCCAGGGCTCCTGCCTGTGTGGCGAGATGATGCCCCCCACCACCACCCCGCTTCCCTGCCCCCTTATACCCCACCCCCCACCCCCTGGACTCAGTCTGGGTGGAGGCTGTTTCAAATGGAAGACCAAGCCTCTGTGGAAGCCCAGACCAGGCCCTAAGCCAGCTCCAGAGGGCTTCCTGCAGAAGAGTTTTGGCAAGAGTATTCAAGGCAGAAGAGACAGCCTGGGCAAAAGCCTGGAGGTGGGGAAACTGAGACCTCCTGGAGGCCAAGGCAGGCTGGAGGGAGGGAGGAGGACAAGGCAGGTCATCATGGGAGGGCTGCTAGGCCTTCCCCAGGGCCACACTATGACTTTCAAGCACCCAGGGCTCTTTGGCCTAAATGAGTCCCTTTCTCCATAAAAAAAAACACTAACACGTATACTTTATGACTTCATTGGAATAGAAAGAAATATAATTCGTTAGTCATCCATTCACCCATTCATTCCCTGTCCATCTATCTATCCCTCTAACTCCATTCACTCACCTAGCCAACCACTCATCCATCCATCCATCTATCCCTCCATCCATCCCTCTATTCAGCCACCCTCCATTTATTCACTGACCCACTCACCCACTTAACTCATCCATCCACCCACCCACCCACCCATCCATCCACCCACCCATCCATCCGTACCTCCATCCATCCCTACATCCATCCATCCATCTATCCGCACATCCATCCATCCATACATTCATCCATCCATCCATCCGTACATCCATCCATCCATCCATCCATCCGTACATCCCTCTTAGCTCCTCTGCTCACCCCATTCGGTTGTCTGTCTGCCTGCGCATATACTCACCCACCTGCCCATTCATCCATCTACTCACATTCCCTCTGTTTCCATTCTTCATTATTTGCTACATCAGCCTCTGCAATCATCTCTTCTCTCTGGAGATTTTTCTAGCTTCTGATCCCAACCTTCCCATCACAAGCCCTCTCTTCACTTCCCATTGCTCACAGATCCAAACCCAAACTTCAGACTCAGCTGGCTTTCAAAGCCTTGAATCGATCTTGTCTCCTCTCACTGCTTCCACTGTGGACCTGGAAGTTGTGTGGGGCCTGGGCACTGTGCCTACTGTGGATGTGTTCCACAGTAGGGACACCTTCACCGTGAAATGGCCTCTCTCTGTGTGTGCCATGTCCCGAAGCCCTTGTCCCCTGGCTGAGCTCAGGCTTCCCATGAATCTGTGGACCCTGTGTGACACTGTAGGTTGTGGTAGTCATATGCCCAGCCTCCTTCCTGTCAAAGTTCTCATCTCCCAGGCCGATGGGAACGTAACTGGGAATCCCTAGGGCTGAAAGCCATCTTAGCCATCCATTCTTGCCTCTTGTGGGGCTGCTCTTCCCCGACTTCAGCGCTGACCCTTGGTCTTTCTCCCAAGAAGCAGACCCACCGTTGCCCTGTGCTGTGCCACCTGGCACCTCACACCCCTTAGAGCAGCTCCTCACAGCTCGCTTTCGTTCTCCCGGCTGTAATGGAAGTCTTTCTCCCAGGAGACACAGAGCAGTTGGCTTTTGGACATCTAGACCTGCTTTTCAAACTGAGCTGCTTGAAGATATTGTCTGTAATCTACTAGTTCTGCAAACACTTCTAAAGTTTGCGTTTTCATTTAGACCTAAAAAAAAGTCCAGTTATAGAGTACACATTTGCAGTGATCACTCCAATGAAAAGTTGTTCCTGTGGGGTAAACAGGTAGGGCCTGACGTCAGCACTGCAGCTGCCGTCTGGGGGACCCCTGGGGTGGGCGGTCTGTGAGCACATTCTCAGGAGTCTGGCGAGAACATTTTTCATGATAAAGGAGCCGTACTTGGTTCACCTGTGAAAGATGTTGATCTCTAGACTGTTCTCAAATGCCATTCTCAGTCGATACCAGCTGTCGATGAGGCTTTTATTGGTCCTAATGCAGTGGAAAGTGACAGTGCCTGCTGTACCAACATGGTACGGCATAGAGCACATGCATGCCACATTGTGAGAAACACTGAGCTCACCCAGTCCTCCACTGCCCTCCTCGCGCAGAGTGGGAGCAGAGGACCAGGGAGGAGAAGGCTGCCGGGCTGGCTGTGACAGAGCCGCTGCCTTGGCAAGCAGGGAGCTGCTGGGTTCATTTCTCCCAGCCTTTGAGGGACTGTGATAGTTGATGCCTTGGTCTCACCTGACCCCTAGTGGCAGGAAAGGCTGCAGCGATCCTGGCTGGCTTTGGCCCCGCTGTACCTGCAGGGAGGTGCCTGTAGTCAAGTCTCCCTAGCAGTGCCAGTGATGGCGGGTGGAGCCCAGCAGGGCCCTGTGCAGAGTCCTTGGCCTTTGGCATCTTTGCCCCTCCTTTTCCTCCTGACAGGGAGCTGCGATGTCAGGATGGCCCCCTGTTTTGGGAGTCCACGAGAGTGCCCAGGCCTTGCGCTTGGCCCCGCTCCACTCCTGGGTTGGAGCCATGGTCTCCTGGAGCAGAGTTGGCGTCTGTCCTGCATTTGCCACCCTAGAGGGATAGAGTGCTGACTCCTCACGCTTACCCAGCCCGTCGTCTCCTCATTACCTTGCTGACTCCGGCGGCTGCACCAGGACTATTTGAGGAGCCAGTGTCCCCTGAAGCCAGCCTCTGAGATTTTTATTTTTTGGTGGAGGCCTTGAAAATTCTTGGTTTCTTTTTTTCTTTTCTTTTTTTTGGGGGGGGAGATAGAGTTTCACTCTTGTCACCCAGGCTGGAGTGCAATGTCACGATCTTGGCTCACTGCAACCTCTGCTTCCTGGGTTCAAGCAATTCTCCTGCCTCAGCCTCCTGAGTAGCTGGGATTACAGCCATGCACCACCACACCCAGCTAATTTTGTATTTTTAGTAGAGACAGGGTTTCTCCATGTTGGCCAAGTCTCAAACTCCTGACCTCAGGTGATCCGCCCGTCTTGGTCTCCCAAAGTGCTGGGATTATAGGTGTAAGCCACCATGCCTGGCTACCTCTGAGACTTTTTTTGCGGGGGGAGGCCTTGGTTTCTATTCATCCTTAGGTCATCCACCAGTTGAATTGTGTTTTCAATCTGGACCATTTTTTAGTACACAGGGACCCTTTGATCTGGAGTCCAGATTCCTGGGTTTGGATCCTTGGGTCCATCTCTTAACTGCTATGTGGCCTTTCAAAACCTTTTCTGTCCAATGCCTATCCTCTCTGCATCACAGAGTTGTAGAAATTCAAAAGAGCATGTATGCGAAGCTCAATAGCCCAGATACTGTTACACAGGAGCGATTCTATCCCACATGGATTCCTTTCTGGGAAAGAGACAGGGAGGAATGCAGTCACATGTTGCCTGCTGATGGGAATACGTTCTGAGAAATGCGTCCTTGGCATTTGGTCGTTATGTGAACAGCAGGATGGTCTAGCCTGCTACACCATCCTCAATGATCTAGCCTGCTACACACATTGGCAGAGAGCCAGTGGCCGCCAGGCTACTTCCCTGTGATGCAGGTTCCTGCGTGAATATTGTAAGCATTTGTAACATGAAGACAGCCATTTGTGTATCTGGACATCTAAATACAGAAAAGTGGTACAGTAAAAATACAGTGTTAAGAATCTGAATAGGACCTATGTCGTATGTGTGGTCTGCTGTTGACTGCAGTGTCATGGTGTGGCATCTGACTGTGTATCAGAAGGTCCGTGATTAGTTTGAAATGTCATTGATGATGGCGGTGGCAACACACAAGGGCACCAAGAGAATGTAAATATGATGAGGTTTGTTTTTTTGTTTGTTTGTTTTTTAAGATAGATTCTCATTCTGTCACCCAGGCTGGAGTGCAGTGGTGCAATCTGGGCTTACCAGCAGTAGCTGCCCCAGCTACTATGTTTAACTGGGCAAGAAGCAGAAACACTGTCCCCTCCACGCCAGCTCCCACTCCACAGCCACCCCCCCAGAGGTGTGTACTGAAGGCAGGAGAAAGGCATCAGCCACCAGCTGAGAGATGACAGGCCCCATGCCTCAAGCCCCAGTTTGCTGGGATCTACCATGGGAATGGCTTGTGATCCTGGGAAGGAATGGGATGCAGACACCCTGAGCTGGAGCAGGCCAAGTGCCAGGGGACACAGCAAGGCTTGAAGCTTGAAGCAGCGAGGTTACAGACATAAAGCCCTCTACCTCCCTCCCAGACAGATGGCGCCACAGTTCTAGGACAATGACGTGACCTCTCCGGGGCTCAGTTTTCTCATCTGCAGAATGGGCTGACAATGCCAGCTAATACTGCTACCAAGCACTGGCTGCAGGTCAGGCACCACGCATGGCTGAAGCAGTCCATTCACTCCCCGTGTGTACTGGGTGCCTGCCATCTCCTACCTACTGCTTAGGCGCTGGGGACACAGCTGTGGTAGAGCAGGTCCAAAAAGAGGAGCTCCTATTCCAAGGGAGAGATGGACGATAAACAAAATAGGCAAATAAAGGATACTGTGGCAGAGGCACGAAGTTCTACAGAGGAAAATAAAGCAGGAAAAGGAACATGGGGGAAAGGGAGGCAGCAGTGCCCTGCAGGGCAGTCAGGGGAGGCCTAAGAGAGGGTGGCATCTGGGCAAGACAGAAAGGTAGTGAGGGAGGCGCCGTGCAGAAATCTGGGAAAAGCATTCCAGGCAGAGACGGCAGCACGTGCAAAGGCCCTGAGGTAGGAGCGGGCCTGATCTGTCGGAGGCATGACAAGGCAGGCAAGAGGGTGGCCCCGGGGAGGGAGCAAGAGTGCTGGGAGGGAGGCCAGACTGTGCAGGGCCCCGAGGGCTCCAGGGAGGAGTTTGGTGGGAATCGACAGACAGCCCTGACACCGGGTGCACCAGACACATAGTAGGTGCTCAAGGAACAATGCCCGGAGAGGCTCTAGTGGAAGCCGCCACTCCATCATCTTTATTGTTTGTTCCCTGGCCCCTCTCCAAGCCTGAGTCCTTCAAAGAGGCCCAGCCTGCAGGTGAGGGCAGGAGAGGGAGGCTTTGGCTGCCCAAGCAGGAGGAAGGGCTTGGTCCAGGTGGGTGGGGAGTCAGGTAGGATCAGGAGGCTATGCCCACTGACTCCAGGACAGCATTAATGGACAGCCATGGAGAAACTGCTCCCTGGGGCAGCTGAGAAGGGGGTTCCCACTCCTATCTGGCCAAGCAAATGGAGCCATGCCCAACGATGCATGGCTGAAGGCTAAGTACAGGGCTGGACAGGGTCCCCAAGGTCCCCACAGCCTCATGCTCCCACTTCAGCAGCCAGGCAGGAAGGCGTGAGCTATGGAGCACCAGTAGTGGCGGGGGTTGGGGGACACTGAGAACACACCAGGAAACAGGAGGCCCACTGCCATCCGGGGCCCACTGCTGCAGCAAAGTGCTGCTCTCCCTTGGGCCTGTTTCCCAATGTCCAAGGGAAGCCTGGATGGAAATGAGTTCCCCAGGCTCCCGCTCCACAAACCCTCACACCTTCTCCTTCCCAGATCCCCCTCTCCACAGGTCCATTTCTACTGAGACCGGCCCCCACCACGCCCACCTCCTAGAGGCATACTCCAAGTCTCACATCCCTGCTGCCCCCTCCTGGGCACTCTCGGGAGCCTCCGGGCCCAGGCTTCAGTCCCACTTCATAGATGAACTGAGGCCAGGAAGAGTGACCCGATCTCAGCTGCAACACCTGCCTCTCTTGCCCCACCAGTCTGCCCAACAGTCTCCTCTGAGATAGTGAGATCCCTGAGGGCAGGGGCTGGGTCTCCCCACATGCAATGCCCACTTATTAAGCACTTCTGTATGTCTATCCAGCGCAGGGCCACAGCTAGGAAACAGGGTTTGGGAACTCCAGCCCCAGAACTCACCACCCCCACAGTTCTTACCAGCACAGCGAGGCCTCTGTGGCTGGAAGAAACAGTCCAGACATGGAATCACGGAGCATTTACTGAGCACCTACTGTATGCCAGGGCTTCACTAGGTCCTAGGGATAGAATTCCCAGGAGCTGGGATGGCATGCAGGCCCCAGGTCCTGCATGGGACCTGCCTGGTGGTAAGGCAGGGAGAAAGCCAGCCTGGCAGTCAAGCGCCCCTGAGCGGCGTGTCTGTGGAATGAGGGAAGGTGCAGTTCTGCCCCTGGGAAAGCATCAGGGCTCCGGGTCTGAGGCCCGCAGGTTGCTGCCTCCAGTGCCTCCCTGGGCCTCCAATCCCTATCTGCACAATGGAGCTAATGCCACCTCTACACTAGCAGGCCATTAGGAAATTAAGTCAGCTGGCTGAGGGATGGGTCCTTGGCCAGTGCCCAGTACGGGCTCTGGTCCCGCCCTGAGCCCAGCACCTCGGAAAACCCACCTGCCTCTGCCCAGCCTCCCCGCCCCCACCCCCGTGGTGCCTCTGAAGCTCTGGCCAACCTGCACACGGCCCAGTTTCAGGCCAGCAATCTTTCATCTTCAGCCTCTCCCTGATGCCCTGTCCCTAGCTCGCTGCCAGTTCCCGGCACAGCCATCCCGTGGGGCTGAGCCCTTGCCCACCGCACCTCCCATATGGCCGGCCAAGCCTCCACTCCTCCTGCCGCCAGCAAGCTGCCCCCTCCCTGACTCTCCTCCATGCCAGCCCGAGGCAGGGCTCCAAGGGTAGGCCCAGGGAGGGGCAGGTGTGCCCACGGGTCTCTCACAGTAATGTCCTGGCCAGGGCCCAGCCACAGGCACCAGCTGCACCTGTTGGAAGAAGGGCACAGCCCAGAGCTGGGTCTGGGACCAGGGGCTGAGGGTGGCTACCAGGTGGGCACCGTGTGTACCAGTAGCCTTCTGCCTGGGGACCTGGCGAGGGCCACAGAAGTTGATGACAGTGATGATGCAGTCACTTCCGCCCCAGCCGTGTGCCAAGGCCTCCGGGTGCTATGCTTGGTACTGCCAACTGTGGCCCAGGGTACTGGAGGCCTGGCCAGGCAGAGAAAACTGCCCGCAGGCAGAACCGGCCCTGCGCTGCAGAGCTGCAGGTGCTGCTGCTGTGACTACTGTGATCACTGCCGTCATTATTTTGCTGTTGCATGGCAACTCACTGCTACCTAGTCATGCCTCGAGGAGACCCGGGGATGGGGACACCATGGCCCTGGGGCAGGAAGGCTGGTGGGGTAAGCCCCTGGCGTGGGGAGAGCTAGGTGAAGGCATCTGTCTAAACACAATCCACTGCAAGGTAGCTTTAGGCGAGACCCCTCCACCACCTCCCAGGCACCTCTTCCTCCCAGCGCAGTGAGGCTCATTCCTGGAGGGGTCCCCTCTCCGGCAGCCTGGAAACGGCGTGTTTGACGGAATAGCTGCAGGGGGAGTGTCCAGAGATGGACTGACAGCTCAGGTCCTGCCCCTCCCAGAGAAGGCTCCACCCCTTCGGTGATGGGGACGGGGGGGGGGGGGGGGGGGGGGGGTGTCAGCCACGCCCTTCTCTGGAACGGGTAAACAGAGGTGATAGGGGACTTGGAGCTCTACCTGCCAGCTCTGAGTCAACAGCCAGCATTTACAGAGTGCCTACTGTATGCCCACAGGAGCGCTCTGGCGGAGAAGAGGGGTGTCCCTGTGGCCCAGCACGCTGGAGCCACCCTCCTCGTCCCCAGGGTGCTCGAGTGAGCCCCTTCACCCCTCACTCCCTGCTCTCTCTCAGGGGGCATGGCACCACCAAATGGCAGGCCCCAGCGGAGTCTCCATCCTAGGGGCGCCAACCTCAGGTCCTCTGGTTGTTGGAGGTGTCACCAGAGAACTGAGGGGCGGACTTTGCTGAGAAGTCTCTTGGGGGATCCCCAGCAAACACTGAGGGGCTCTTCTTAGAATACAGGAAGGAGTACCCCTCAAAAAGAGCGCAAGCCTCCATAGGCGCCAAGGGCTGAGATGTACCTCACCTCCTCCCTGACCCTCGCCCGCCACAGGGCGGAGGTCCAGGGCGGAGCTGCGCGAGGAGGGGCCGCGGAGGTGCAGCGCGGCGGAAGGAGGCTGGGGTCCAGCCACGCGGCCAGGGACCGGCCCTCCTGTGGCACCTCAGAGAGGTCGAAGGCTAGGCCTAAGGCTAACGCCTTCCGGGTTCGCACCTTCCAAAGGCGGCTGCCGGTTTCAGCGGTGTGGGGGCGCCACGGCGCTCTCGGAAACGGAGCCTGGGAACCGGGGTTTGGGGGCGCGGATGTGGGGGCCAGGAGGTCCCCAGCGCTTTATTGCAGGGCTCGAGCCTGGGTATAGAGGAGCAAAAAAGAAACTAGAAATGGCCACAGGCAGCGCCGCTCTCGGAGATGGGAACGCCCTCTGGGAAATGGGGAGGGAGAGGTCCCAGGTCCCAGCGAGTTCAGGCTGTGAGGAGGCAGGAGAACCTCCCTGAACAAGACGGTCCCCAAAGAAGCACTTTGACCCCTATTCCTAACACAGGTTTCAAAATATTCACATGATATGTGCCCGCTGGATCAAAACGAGGCATAGACACTCGCTTGGGCCTCAACTCCCATCTTAACCCCCCAAACAGCGCCCCACCCCAGCCGCCTCTGCCCACGAGTCCACGATTCCCGCCCCGCTCCCCCAAGGCACTCGGAGAGGCAGTGCGCGCGCAGGGTGGACCCTGAAACCCTGGGAGCTTCTTAGCCAGCGGCCATCCCCTCTGAGATTAAGGCCGACTTCTAAAAGCAAAAGGGAGCCTCTGGACTTGGCTGACTCGCTGGTATGGAATCATTTCCAGAATATTTTTACTCCATTACAGCACGGGAGGTGAGAAAGAGACAAGACTCCAGGGACCCGCAGGTCTCTGGCGGGAGGCATTCTCGGGGCAGCTCATATAGCCCCGGCGCCCGCCTCTGAGCCCCACCTCGATCGCGGGGTCTCTGGGAAGGTCAAGCCTAGGACCCGTGCCTCGCGCCCGAGCGCTTCCGCACGCTCCCTCCCGAGCCCACCCCCCCCCCCACCTCCGTGCAAAAAAGCCAGAGAGGTCCGAGGGCTCCTCAAAGTTTCCCGGAGCACCCCCCAGGACGAAGGTTAGCCAGAAGCAAAGTTCCTTGTGGTGGTGGTAGCCGGAGACATGGCAGGAAAGAAAAGCTCACAGTCAGCATTTCCTCCGATGTCTCACCAAGGAAGGAAAAAAAATGAAAACCAGAGGAAGAAAACACCCGCTCCACCTTCCCTGTTGCTGCACCACCTCGTGCTCGCTCCTGGCCGGGCTAGTGGCGGGGGGCGGCCTGAGGATAACTAGGGCCGGGCCCTCGGGGGACCATGCGCCCGCGGCCGCGCACTTACCTAGGTCAGTAGCCCAGGCGCGGCGCACTCGGCGTCCTTCCAGCTCCGGGCGGCCGTTCCTGGCAGCGGCAGCTGCCCCGGTGGCTGCTCGCCGCCGCTGACGCCACCGCTTCAGGGCAGCCCCCGGCGGCGCTCCATGCCGAGGGGGCGAGTCGGTCCGCCAAGAGGATCGCCTGGGTCCAGCCACGGGTCGGGGGCGCTCGCTCGGGCCAGCGCGGCTGGCGTCCGTCCCTCGGTCTGGCTGTGAGCACTGCCAGCCCACCCCCTCCCCCGCCGGCTGTTATCTGATCCCCGGCAGGGCTCGGCGCGCTCCCCTACGCCCCGGCGCCCCGCAGCTCTGCGCAGGCTCCGACCGCGCCAATCCCCCTCCCCCGGCTACTGTTCCTAAGGAGGCGGCAGCAGCCGCGGCTTGGCCGGGAGAAGACGCGGAGCCAGGAATGCAGGGCGAGAAGGCGGCGGGAGGCAGAGGCTCCAGTTCCGCGCCTAGCTCCACCGGAGCTCAGCTCAGCAACTCCTCTAACTCTCCGCGGAGAGCACGCCCGCCCCGCGCCGCGCCGCCGCTGCTGCCGCCTCCTGGGAGGGATAACCTCTCCCTTAGCCTCCCTTAGCCTCCCTTAGCCTGGGATAACCTCTCCATGCCCCCACTTATACAAAGACTAACTTGCCCTCAAGGCCAATCCAAGGTTTACATTTTGTGTGAAGCCTCCTAGGGCTACTATAGGTCTGTTCCGTGACACATAAAATGTAATTTATATCCTCCGTCTCTAGAATTACTTTTCAACTAGAATCATAGTTTTGGGGGAGTTTTTTGTTTTGTTTTGTTTTGAAGGCACTATAAAGTAGAAATTAAACATGGGCTTTGGAATCAGAGAGCATGGTTATAATCCTGGCTTCCTGTAAGTCTGTGACCTTGAGTAAATGTCTTGACTTCTCTAAGCTCTGGTTTCTTCATGAGTAAAATGAGGCTTACAATACCCATACCTAAGTTATTGGGATGGTGTATGTAAGTCACTTTACATAATGCCAAGCACACAATACGAATACCTCTGGGATCCTTGTCCTTGTTGATCTGGAGAATAGTTTAGGGGGACAATTTGTTGATGTATGAGCAAGTCCTCCAGAAAAAGAGAGCACCCAGTCAAAGGGATTCCCTGGCTCTCTGAACTTCCACCACACTTATCTGTAGGTGTTCTAGTGCCTCAGTACCCACCCCTATTCCTTCTCTCCAGGGCCCCTTCCAAATCCTAGGAAGGGACTCTTCCCTTGGGTCCATGGGATAGTGTTTTATGGGCACATACTTACTGTAAGTGTCTTGGGTCAGAATTCTACACAAGAAAGACAGTGCATAGGAGTTAGCTTCTTGCCTTCTTCTTTTAAGTTTCCCAGTCTCCATCCTCAGTAGGCCTCCCTATAAATAACCCATTCTGGCAGGAATCTAACAGTTTTTAAGGGCTTTCCAGTAAATCCTACCATAACACCAAGAATTCTTGCCTGTCCTTAAAACTGCAGCTTAGTAGGCCGGGCGCAGTGGCTCACGCCTGTAATCCCAACACTTTAGGAGGCCAAAGCAGGTGGATCACCTGAGGTTGGGAGTTTGAGACCAGCCTGACCAACATGGAGAAAACCCAACTCTATTAAAAATACAAAATTAGCTGGGCATGGTGGCGCATGCCTATAATCCCAGCTACTCAGGAGGCCGAGGCAGGAGAATCACTTGAACCTGGGAGATGGAGGTTGCATTGAGCTGAGATTGTGCCATTGCACTCAAGCCTGGGCAACAAGAGCAGAACTTGGTCTCAAAAAAAAAAAAATGCAGCTTGGTGTATATGTAGATTTTTTGTACAACAGGCCTTGTCCCTCTCCTTATCTGTTACTTAGGCCATGGGACAGTGAGTGGCCATGAATCTGCAGGGGGCTCCCCTTCTGTGTACCCCTGAACATCCTCTGGATGAAACAACCATAGCAAAACTGACCGGGGAAGAAGAGCAATGAGCCCATGCATGAAATGCTAGTGTCAGCTGCCTTTCTCAAAGCAATTGTTTAAGTAGGGGCCTGAGCCAGGCTAATAGCTATTATCACAGGACCTTATGTCTATTATTGTCTCCTCAGTAGATGGAAGTGCAAACCTATGATATTCTGATTGTGATAAGCAGCACACTTTCACCTACGAGGGGCTGTAATCGAAGCAGAAGTGCCACACAAATTAACTAGCAGTCCACCGCACATCAAGCACAGAGTATATTTTCTCCATCATAGGTAAGAAAGGGAATTATTTCCCATCCTGGAGCGTCAGTGGCTGTGTCAGCCCCACCACAGCTTCCAATGGGACTAGAGCTACACTGACATGTATGATTAAAGCTCCATGTTATACCGCAGTGGCTGCCTTTTCAAGGAGATAGAGGAAAGCTCACAGGACCCCTGGGGCAGGACACAACACTGCTCCTCAGAACATTCCTTTTAAAAAAGTTGTCATAAAATCCAATTAACCAGCTGGAAGGCCAGTGTGGGCAGGCCTCCTCGGGGTTAATAAATAATAGAATATGCCCCACATTGGAAGGGGCATCTCTCTTCTCAAAGCTTGCAGGCTGTGACAAGGGCTCCTGGCAGAAAGACACATGTACTACCACCACATCCTGGTCCCTGAAACTGCAGCAAGTCCAGCAGTGAAGTTCCCCTAGACAGATGCCCAGATTCCTGGGGGTACCTTCCCCCTCCCCTGCCCCATGAGCCACAAATTAATCAACCCAGCCCCAAGTGTGAGGGAATGAAGGGGCCTGTCTTGAAAGAACAGAGCATTAAAATGGGATCAAGAGCTTTAGTTCTAGCTCCAAGTCAGTCTCATTCTCAGGCAAGCTGTTCAGAGACTCCTGTTCCCAGCTGAATAAGACTAATGGTGGTGAAGACTTCAAGGTGGGCACAGCAAGCCCTCTTTCCCTGGTCCCCTCTCCATGGTCGCTCTCCCTGGGGGTAACTCTTTGCTTTTATTAGACCAGCACTGCTCAATAGAAATATAATGAGAATCATGAATATCATTTGCAATTTTCTAGTGGTTGCATTAAAAAAAAAGTTCATTAAAAAAAAAAAAAAACAGGTGGCCGGCTGCAGTGGCTCACGCCTGTAATCCCAGTACTTTGGGAGGCCAAGGTGGGTGGATCACCTGAAGTCAGGAGTTCAAGACAAGCCTCACCAACATGGAGAAACCCCGTCTCTACTAAAAATAGAAAATTAGCTGGGTGTGGTGGTGCATACCTGTAATCCCAGCTACTCAGGAGGCTGAGGTAGGAGAATCACTTGAACCTGGGAGGCGGAGGTTGCAATGAGCTGAGATGGCACCATTACACGCCAGCCTGGGCAACAAGAGTGAAACTCTGTCTCAAAAATAAAACAACAAAAAACAAAACAACCAAAAAAAAAGTGACATTAATTTTAATAATAAAGGCTGGGCATGGTGGCTCACCCCTGTAATCCCAGCACTTTGGGAGGCCAAGGCTGGAGAGTCACTTGAGCCCAGGAGTTCAAGACCAGACTGGGCAACATAGGGAGATCTTGTCTGTACTAAAAATTAAAAATTATTGTGGCATGGTGTTGCACATCTGTAGTTCCATCTACTCAGGGAGGCTAAGCAGGGAGGGTCACTTGATCCCAGGAGGTCGAAGCTGTAGTGAGCTATGATTGTGCCACTGCACTTCAGCCTGGGCAACAGAATGAGGCCCTGTCTCAATTAAAACAAATTTTTTTAATTTTTATTTTCTTATAGAGGCAAGGTCACACTATGTTGCCCAGGTTGGTCTTGAACTCCTAGACACAAGCAATCATCTCACCTCAGCCTCCCAAAGTGCTGGGATTACAGGTACAAGCCACCACACCTAGTCCCTTAATTTTTAAAAAATAAATTTTAATTATAAAACATTTTAATAATATATTTTACTTAACACAAATATATACAACAATTATATATACAACAATTTGTATATATTTGTGTTAAGTAAAATGTATTATTAAACATGATTTCAACATGTAATCAATACAAACATTTTAAATGAGATATTTTACATTCTTTTTTGTTTGTACTAAGTCTGAAATCTGGTGTCTAGTTTACACTGACAACACATATCACTTAGGACAAGACACAGTTCAATGCTCAATAGCCACGTATAGTTAGTGGCTACCATATTGGAAAAGTCAAGGCCTGGATCTCCGAGTTCCCTTGTACGGGAATCATGCAGCTCCCATCTGGCTCACAACTGCATCCCCTCTCTCTGGGCCCTCTGGGCACCATATTTTTGCTTCTTGGGGACCCTCAGCCCATCCCTCTAGTTCAAGGCTTTGAAAGGCCTGGGAAAGGCAATGGAAGCTGCCATCACTCCCAGGAACTGCCCTGTGAAAACTCCCAGGCACCAGAGGGTCATCATTTTGGGGTTTGCTGGCTCTGGTCCACACCCTCCAGCATCATCCCCACTGCCCAGGGAGGGTTGTGTGGGGCCATCCTAGAGTGACAGAGCCAAGGACTGGGCAGGCAGGGAGGAGGAGGAGTTGCAGACAGTAGTGTTCCTGGAGTGGTGAGAGCTTTAGTTAGGAGCAGAGCGAGGAACCTTTAATCCTCTCTGTTACCAGAGAGGAAAATGTGGGTGGCAAGGAAAATCTTGTCAGGGAAAATACTGGCAGGAAGGTGAGCCACATGCCCCAGTAATCACCAACTCTGCTGCTTTCCTTTGATGTAGTGCCTCGGTGCCATGCAGGCCAGGCCAGGCCTCTGACAGACAGGCCCTTCCTGGGCGACTGTGACTGTGTGTGTGTGTGTGTGTGTGTCTCTGTGTGTGTGTGTGTCTGTGTGTGTGTGTGTGTGTGTGTGTGAGTGAAAGTGTGTGTGTGAGTGTGTGTCCTGGCTCCTTCTCAAGCAGCAGATGCCTGTCTCTGCATGCCCTTAATCTGACAGCATCCCAAGGGGAACGAGTCCTAGGTTCATGTTTT